GTAGGCGCTTGGGGGGGGGGGGGTTGAGCTATAGCTCCTACTCATTCTTAACCCCCGCACTAGATGGGGCTGAGTGGTCAGCATCACGCCCCGAATTTGATAAGTAATGCCGACAAAAACATACAGTGGACATTATACTGGTATTATGACTCGACCATTGCTACAGACATTTGGAGATTCAGTGGATTAGTGTACTAAATAAATATATTCCTCATAATTAATTTAATATGGCCCTGGGTGGGGACGATTGGCGGGTTCTTGTAAACATGGTAATGAATTCTCGGACATCGTGAAACGGTGAAAATGTTTTGGCAGATTGGGCGACACAATTAGCTTCCCAACCAAACACAATTTTCCGTGAAGTTTGAAATCAGAACCCTCCAGAATAAAAAAACAACAACAGGAATATCGTAAGGGTCTGTGACCGAAATCTCTCTTCCTTATGCCCATTTTCCATACAATCCGGATACTTGAAGGAATTCGAAGTGCTGAGTATTGGAGTGGAATTTATATTATGTCTGTGAGGTGGCGCCTCGATGCGATACTCAGGACGTGTTGAATCAAGTGAAACACAAATACTGCATGCAAGCAAAGTACCAATATAGCATGCTTGTGCGTTTCATCCATTCAAATACCAACAAGTTCAAAAGGAATCTGTTGATGGCTGGATAATATTTTTTTTTCACTCCTTCATCCAGTTTTAAATACTTAAATGTTGATCATGAAACCCTCAGTCTTCACAGTGTTTGTATTATTTAATGGCGTCTTTACTGCAGACGTTTGTAGCATCGATTGGGGATAGTCGTGAATTGTAATTAGGTAAGAATGGGGGTCACTGAGGAAAACTATTAAAATTAATTCAGGATTGCCAGTGTAAAGACTGAGGTTTGAACTAGGTACGTCCTGAGCGTTGCAGCTAGACCAGTCTGCCCACTACTAATAACGCAGTATACTAATCATGAACTTTGTATGGGTGAGGTAAGGAAGTTGTAGAACTCTGTCTGATTCCTATATTAAGTATGATTTCGTAGCAGAGCTCATAAATCCTATGTTGCTACTGTATATACTTCCAGTCCTATAGATCTTATATTGCTAATGTCGCATTTAGACATCATGTCATGTCAATTTGGATGAATGAATACATAGACCTTTTGCCTGAAGGAAGGATACAAAGACGTAGATGGGAAAATTATATTTATTAAAATATATCCTAAGCTACAGGATGTGAGAATGTGGACTTCATTGATTTGGCTCAAGACAAGGTCTAGTGGAAGGCACTTGTAAACACGAAATTGGAGTTTCGAGAACAATTGCCGGGGAAGTTCTCGACTATCTGAGTTAATGGTAACTTCTAACGAAGGACTCTGTTCAGTCGAACAAGTTAAATGTCAATTATTTCTTCTTACTTTCAATTAACAATTTCGTGTGTTTTACGTTTGAGATATAACTTATCATAAAGTAGGATTTGAGGTTTTCGCGGCGGTAAGTTCGAAGATGGTTGTCTTCTGGGTTGTTGCCGTGTAGTCTGGCAGAAATTTACCGACGTTTCAGAGGTCCTTGCTTCCTCCATCATCAGAATTCATCGCCCTAATATTGGATACAGGAAGGGCCTCAGAAACGTCGGTAAACTTCTACCAGACTACACAGCGCAGCAACCCAGAATACAGTCTTCTTCAACTTATCATCAATTTTCACAAAGTGTTTACGTGAACTCACGTTGTAATTTAAATGATACACAAACTTAAACAAATTTACTGTTAATTTGGGGCAGGTTTCTTCATTTTTATTATTCACGGCCGGATATTCTCGGACATGTAATTCATATCGGAATCGGCAGATGGTGTACATAATAAAACGATGTCGACAGATAACAGTTTAATGACGATGTAACAGACTTAATGATGTATCTCACAGAAATTTCAATATTTTAAAGTATTTAACAATATGGTTGCAGAAACGCGTTTGTGTAAAATATGGTCAGTTTTCAGGAGAAGTCTGATGAGTTTCTCCCAGGTCCCACTGTGCTAATTTAAATACAAAACCCAGAAGGTGCTACATTTGCTGTGACTTACACCACAGTTTATGAACCTTTTCCAGACCGAGGGCCATATTCACGCTTGTTTATCGACTCGCGGACTGCAAGATTATACATGAGAACAATTTATTGAAACATCATGCCAGTTAGTGAGATATAAGGTCTTCACGGCGGTGAAGATGGTTATTATGTTTGCGTTTCTGGGTTTTGGCGCCGTGTAGACTCGCCAACAGATGTCAAAGTTTCAGAGAATCATTCTCTCCTGCGAATAGTGCCTAAATGAGAAAGACTTGTTCTCTGACATCAGAAATCTGTTTGTTTGGTAACCTGCAGGGTAACACGGAAGGTCTTCGATGAAATACATATACACAGGCTGCATACGGCCCAGAGACCGCAGGTTGAGAACGCATGGCTTAATTTTTTATAAGTGTGATTAGATGCATTCGGATATTTGGATTGCCGAGCTAGAAAATATATAGACTCGTATGTTTGCTCTGCTAGGTAATGCTAAACCAGTGACCAGCTAATGCCTAATAAAGAGAATTGGGGCTTTAACTATGTCTTAAGGTTGTTTCTGCTGTAGGTTCAAGGATTCGAGTGTGGTCTTATGGGTTGTGACGTAGCGTACCTTTGTACGTGCTTAATGAAATCACTAAGTTTCGAAGGATGGATCTTCCTTCGTCTTTAGATAAAAAGGGAGATACCGATCTGCTCCCGATCGGAATATTTATAGTCCGCGACTGTAATCTTGAGATTTGCGGGGTGAGGAAGTGGGGTGGAGGAGGAAAGATAGTCTGCTGTGCAGTATAGTAGTACGCTTAGGACTTCCTGCATTCCTTGCAAGTATCAAGATTACAGTCGCGAACAGTACATATGCCACAGAAGTCAGTACTCAGTGCCCACAGATCGGAAATAGGTCGGTCTGCCGGATCCAATACAGTAAGTGTCTCCAGCATTTTGTCTGAAGATGAATGAAGATCCCTCCTTCGAAAGAAAGTGATTTTTTAAGGTTTTAAATCTTTTAGCACATTTAAAGAACAATGTCCTAGACAAAGACATTCAGAGAAGAACTCATAATTCTTTTGCGGGAAAAAGGTTCAGTTTTTCGTCGGGAAATTTTCTGTCTTAAAATTATTCCGGTTTCCTTTAGTACTTGCAGGAAAATGCTTACAAGAAAGCACGACCAGTTCCGTCTACATTCTTCCAAATCGCTGGTTAAAAATTATACCTCGTTTCGACGCTGTATACCTTATTACCTGGGAAAACGTCGATAAGCTTGCACTAATAAATAAATGAGTTTTGAGGCGACTCTTTCAAAATTGTTTGCTCTGTTGCATATTACTGCTACATATTTCATTCTTGGATGTTGATCTCATCTCTGGGTGATGGCACTGTGTAGCTATGTGAGCAATGATACTAACGTTTCGGAGATCCTGTCTCCATCCTCAAGGTGATGTGACCGGTGGTTGCTAGTAGCAACGTTCGGTAGGAAATGCACTGTTTCTGTTCTGTTTATTCTATTTCATGGTCTTACTTCCATATGTGGATGAAGGTAGGAAGACTGATGGAACTGTGGAAGAGTCAGCAAAGTCGTCTGGGATTCGAGACAGACGCCGTAACACGCGCGAAGCTATCTCATTTGGCTTTTCCGGTATTGCGTAAAAGTGAAGCGTAGCAAATCCACTTGAAGGCCGCGAGTCAGCAGCAGGAGCAGAGAATGAAATATCTGACAAACTGCACTTTAACTTTCCGTATAATTTCCTTTCAAGTTAGCCATTGCATCATTTAAAATATAAATTCTTTGCAAGATCACAATTGCATTAGAATGTCCATACAGACAAAGCCTGTACTTGTTAGATGTTTGGGGATTTCCAGTAGTACATCTCTTTGTCACTGCGCTTCCAGACTGTGTCTGTGACCCGCTGAATTTCCTATCCAACGGATTCTGGGGGGCTTCTTCCATGGTTGGGGGGGGGGGGGTTAAAATTGATCATGAAAGTGTCAACTTACCTCCATTTTGCACCGAGCTCTGCTTGCGTAGCATATCGTAACTTTTCCCTCACTTCACTTTTTTCGATACAGTAATATAATTTGTGTTGTCCAATCAGTACACTATTCATTATGCATGTTAGTAATTACTAACTGCAGAGAGTTTATCAACATTTACATACTAATTTTTTTACTTTTATTTTATTTAAGAATTCCTTATAAATCAGAGGATTGTGGCTATAGTTAATTGTAATTTCTGATATAATCATCTGTGAGGTTTTAGGTTCTCACGGCGGTGAATATGAAGATTACTTCTAGCTTGTTAAGCCGTGTAGTCTCGTAGAAATTGACAGACGTTTCAGAGGTACATACTGCCTTCAGCATCAGGGCGATGAGTGCGTAGATCACTTTCATCCAGACTACACGGCACGACATCCCAATAAACAGTCTTATTAATTATAATCTGCGTGAATTTGAACAGTGAACTTCTACTAAATTGGCGAGGCTGAAAACGGAACGTCTCTTTGTAAGAGTTAGTAATCCTACTTCGTATTCGGGATTTCTCGGATCAGAATCTGAGCATCGGAATGCGGTCTCTTGATTTTTTATAAGCCCCACGAGGAAAATTCTAGAACAGCAGTCACCCTGCCCGTTTCATTCACAGTCGGAACACAGTCCATCATTCGACGATATTCTCTGCATATGCATTTTATAAGCCATCATTAAACACAAAAGTGTTAATGAAGCACTGCTTTCGTTAATAAACATCGTAAAGAAGTGTCTTCCTAATATAGAAGTAGGCAAACGAGACGTGCGTGAAGACACGGCGCTTTACTCACTGACCAGATAATCCTTTAGCCATGAATGAAACACGCTTAAAAGCAAACACAAAACGACTTAAAAGAACGAGCACGCAAACGAATGTTAAAATAAAATGCAAAAGTTGCAATACAAATCTGTCAACATGTGTGCTTACCTTTGTTGGGTTGTCAGCGCTGACCTGGCTCGGTTAACAGTGGATGTGGTGATGTTACACTGTTTTCTTTCTCTTGTTTAGCTGATGATGTTTACGATGATGCTGATTCAAGTAGGCTTTGGTTGCCGGCATGACGCAAGTACATCGTGTGTAATATGAGGGGGGCGTATGCCACAAGGATACAAATAAAAGGAAGGAAGCCGAATGCAGGTTATAGAATGATTATGTTCATGGCCCCTCCTCCGAAATCACTGCCCCCTCAGAAAAACACACACGCGTTCACACGCAGAACAGTGAACTTTTTCTCGTTTTGTTATTCCACCGCCTACTAAGTTACACTCACACACAAGTACTCGTTGGTATGACCGTTCACATGAGACACTTCTACTGTTTTTATATCTACGATTTTTGATTCTTTCTTCTTTTAGATTCGCGCTGCATAATCAGATAGCTAAAAATGGCTCGCTGTTTGTAGCTGGGCAATAATTAAATTTTATTTAACGTCTGGCCACAGAGAAACTAAATTGGATATCCTCTGACTGTGCTACGCCCCTGGTGGCGACAGTCAGAAGACAGGGATAATAATACTGGTCTTTTTTACTTCCCTTGGAAATGTGAAAATATAAAATAATAATGAATGAGTTATTACAGATCGTACGAGAGATGTATAAATAAATGGAAATACACACAACAGATGTCCTTTCCTGAAGCACTGACAACAATTGATAAGGAGAAAGACAGATAATAAATCAGGTTAACACTTCGGCACGGCAGTTCACTGTAAACCCAATGTCAATGTTTTGTGTAACTTTTTAACCACTTCGAACGGGTGCATATTTTCGTCTTTTGCAGACATTTTAATATAAAAGAAACTTGAAAGACGCGCGGTTCAAGTCTGCTCCAACAAGTTAACAAGTTTTTTTCTAAACTGCTGCTTTATTATTCCTGCTCGTCTCTCTGTGTAAAGTCACACCTCCTGCAAACACACGCAGAGCGAACACGTGAGTTGATTGACAGCAAATGCGCGAACAAGATCTGCAATGCGTCGCGCTCCGCCTCAGGATTCGGTATGAAAGTTGTGAGTACCGTCTTGACCACTTATAACACAAGCTCGCAGCTCGGCTCGATTCGGATATCTTCGACAAAGCACAGACTAGCTCCGCGCCGTCGCGCAATCTCGTCACTTTGTTTTGAGTCGCGTATATCCGATCGAAAACT